CTCTTTCTGTCACTTTGATTCACTGTGTTGTGGGGCTGATGTAGCTGCCATGTGTCACTAGTGCTGCACTTCAGAAGTGGAAGAAGAGAATTCCCTTCTATATGTGAAGCATGTTGGGATGCTTTGGGATGAAAAGTAATAATTGAATTCCAGAAATTATACATAGCATGAAAAATACTGGTTAAAAATTCACATAATTCCTGTTATATTAATTATAATAGGAGACATAAAGTATGTGTTAAATTGCAGTCCCATGTTTGACTTAGTAACTACAAACCTAATGTAATGCTTTTATAATATGACATATAGTAATACTCTTGAAATCAAAGAATAAGGAAAAGTGGGAAAGGTAATTTAAAATACCATAGATTTTTATAATAATGGTATTATTTTTATTTAACTAGGCAAGTTAATTGAAATTAAAATTTCTATGGAACAATTTGAGGGCATCCACCCACCTTCCTAAAAGATACAAAAGCAGCATCCACCCCACAATTTTAATCTACAGTCCTTTTGTTCGGAGCCTGATGTCCTAACTCTACTCAACTTTGCTGCCTTTACAATTTGATGGTAATTTAAATTCCACTCTGCTCATTGCTTTAAATATTAAAACTGCATTAGAACAGGAGAGAAATCACAAAGGATCATTACTTAGAAATGTCTTTTAGTGATTAAGTATTTTTAAGTAAAGTTTCTAATGTATTTATGTTATGTACTGTAATATTATGAAATCACTTATGAAAAATGTTTGTTCTGAATAAAATACAGTTTATTTTTAGGCTTCTAGTGTAATCAAATACAGGAACAAGTAAAGGTTTATTCCATGCTGAAAAGCGAAGAAAAGAACCCGAAAAAGGCTCCACAGCCGAAACGCTGTGTTTCTTTTCTTCTCTTTTCAGCATGGAATAAACTTTTACTTGTTCCTTTGCAGCCTACGCATGCTGATGCAGCTACCCACCTGAACTAATCACATACAGTACTAGTAATATCATACACTACATGTAGCTCAGTAACTTTAATTCTGTAACATTAATATATTAAATAGATCATATAATACTCTAGAGAGAGGCGAAGATCTAGACTAGTGTTATAGAAACAAAATCAAGTCCATTATGTTAACAAAACGCAAATCCAGAAAAGTATTTTAACAAACAATCAAGTTTCAATGGCAAGCGGCTTCCAGGTTATCTTGACATTGTTAAAGATTTTTTCTCCCACAAGAAATGAATTTCCTAGAAGCTTGTCATCTAACTATCCATTTTCCAACTACTTCTTGCAATTCAGGGTCGTGGAGAAGCTGGAGCCTAGCCCGTGAAGCAAAGGGCGCAATACAGGGTACGTCCTGGATGGGACACCAGTTCACTGCAGGGAAGACACATAGACAAACACACACTTACACTAGGGCCAATTTTCCCAGAAGTCAATTAACTTGCCCATATGTCTTTGGACTGTAAGAGGAAACCCACTCAAAGACGACAAGAACGTACTATAAAAACTTCACACAGATAGCACCCTGGGCCCGGGACTGAACCAAGGACCCCAGTGATGCAAAGTTCAGTACAACAACAACAACAACAACAACAACAACAACAACAACAACAACACTAACCACTGCGCCACTGTATTGCCCTCAGTTGATCATATGCATGCTGAAACCACTGTGATAGTGCACAGGTCTCCTGTGATAGATGTAGCTCAGTCTCAATAAGATCAATAATCACTCCTCTGTCAGATGGGTCAATATGACCGTTTAACCCCCAATCCCCACCCCCTTCCCTGCAGTGCTACTCCTGTTCATTAGAAATGCACGCTGTTAACCATCCCACGAACAGAGATCAAAGATGAAGCCGAGAGATGAATTATCTGCTTGCTGTAATACACTAAGCGATTTGACAGGACGCACTCATTTTATCTCTTTGAGGGACACCAATAGGATGCCATTTTATGAACATTCTTCTTCACCATAACCGTAACGTCCTTTCTTCCCTTCCAGTTTGAATGCATTGTGTAGCTGGCACCTATTTCAGACATGCTGCTGCAGCCTTCCCAGTCTGAGGCATCAGCTTTCCCTGCCAACAGTAGCTAAGGGAATGGCGCATGGTTTTCCAGCAAAAAAAGAAGGAAATAATGCTTCCTAAGGGAAGCAGGGAATAATGCACTGGAACTCCAGCCTTGCGGCAAATGGTTATTTATGGTTTCTAGGATTTACAGCATATTTTTAACATTTTCTATTTTTTTTTACATTTATAACACAAATGTAACACAGTACGTACCAACACATTCAAAATTAACTGCAATATCAAGTCCTATCGGAGTCTATGAGAGCACTATCTGTGTACTGTCCCATTTAACTGCATTTTAATCGAGCTGAATTTAAGTTACCATCATTTTAACTTCAGAACAAAAGCCTTCTTTCTATTCCATATGAACGATATACAACGCAAAACCATATAAGATACTGAAAACAGAAAGGGAACATCACGATCGTTTCACCTCATTTTTTTACTTTGGCAAGATGCAAGTAGTAGAAATAGTATTACAAATAAGAATCTTTATTATGCAGTGCCTTTTCTGGTACATCAACTCAAAGCGCAGTGCAACAATCAAAAAAGACAGCTAGAAACACATGGTCATAAGCCTTATATGAAATCGAGTTACCAGTTTCCAATTCTTCAATGTTTAATGTATTAAAAGGTTGTTGTTAATTAATTAGTAATGTGCTCCATTCATTTTTTCTTTAAGAAACTGCAGTATTATCAGATGGAGTCTGGACAGCTCACCCATGACCACCCCCCAGATTTGGATGCTTCTTAGACTTTTCATACTCTAATCACAAAAAGTGATTTAAAAAGATATCTGCGTAGGACGTCAAACACAATATAAATAAGCAAGGCATAGGAGAAAATTCTTAGGCAAGAACCAGATTCAGCAAAGACACCTGAGTGAAACAGGTACTATATATACATACAAATGTGGCAAGGTGTAAATCTTAGAACATCAGTTCTAAAAATGGATTTCCTGTTTTCCTTTTTAATGTGAAAAGAAGAAATGTAAACTGAGATGACAGGATACCTTCATAAATTCACTTATCTATTCTTCAGTGACTGACAGATCACACACAAAAGCAGAATTTATACTTTATCTAGAATTTTGTATTATATTATGCTTTAACTTGTATTTTGTAAGATATTATGTTTGCATTATATTTACTCTTTCTGTTTTAAAGAGGTGATTACCACAAGTGTGGTGAAACCCATTTACGATTATTGAAGAGGGATGTAGTACCAAGTAGTACTTGTTTAATTCTGAATGCTGTTGGAAATAATTGGAAAAGATAACCATTTTTGTTTTATCTTTTTATACAAGGAATGTCTTTTTTGAGTTCCACTTGCATAAAGTGATTTAAGAGCTATGTAAAGGAAGCCATTGCAAAGCGTATTTTAGGAATGATATGAAGGGTAGCAAAATTCAAAAGCTTGTTTTTATCATTATGAGAGGCTGTATTACACAACAAAAGCAATAACTATTTTGATTAAATGTTTATTTTTTATTCATTTGCTTTGACCGCCTTTTTGCAGCTCAATTGTGTAGCATTAATAACATCTGGGCAGTTGCCAATATTTTTGACAAGATTTGTTTTGATTTGACCTACTTAACATTTAACATACTGTATATACTTTATGAAGTTTAGAAAATAAATTTGTTTCAACAATACTACATTAGTAAATGCTTGAAATTTTAGTTTTTATTTTTACCTACAATAAATGTTGCAAAGACAAAATGAACAATTCTAAAAAATAATACATTATTAAACAGTGGGCTGATAATCGCTGTCAGCCCTTTAAAGGTTTACACTATACAAATATGCAGCGGTAATATGTAATATGTTCAATGTGTTTGTATGAAGACACGCAAGAATGATCTGTCGATGGTTCTTGGTTAAAAAGAACAACACATGATTCTCCCTTAAAGAGACATGCAGTAAATGGTGGACAGTTTCTTTTAGTCATACTGCAGGTACTGAACCAACCCCCCTCCCCCCCCCCCACCCCCCTTCCCCTACGTTGAAGAAGGAACAAACAGTAATAATTACTAATGCTGAGGCACGTAAATTTGGCAACAATATGGCCATTTTTGACGCAAGTGCATTAAAGCTGTCTGGACATGAAAAAGAACTGTATCTTCATTAAGTTTGATACATGGACTGTACAGTATGTATCCTGCCAACCACTACTCTACTGTACTGTATGTCGCAGTCCAGAAAATACTTTCTTGCATTCTATAATTCTGATCTCCTCCTCTCTTGGAACTTCTTTCCTTTTGATAACATAAGCACTCAGTCAGCATCTTCTATGCTATTATAAAGTCCCCTAGGACAATTAACAGCAAGGACATATTTATTGATCAACCGCTGAGATCTGGAAATGATCTGGGCAGGATTTCAGGCATTTCTGCGTATACTCGCTGTGGGGGTGGCGGAAGATAAGATTAATAGCCTTCTGTCAGCAACTGCATCATTCCCTAAGGAGGCTTGCTATCCTGCGCAAAAAATCCAAAAGCATTTAACAGATCCACGCCGTGAACGTTGCAAATCTCACATTATTTGAAACACGCTCTTTAATTTCCATTTCAGTCCCACGCTTTCTCGCTGTAGCCGTTCTCCATGGTCCTGAAATGTAGAAACCGCCCACCACCGGTGCAAAGCATACTGCATACTAGACCTCTAAATATCGTCTGTTCATACCAATTTATATAAGCGTCACGTCTTCAAAAGGCGTGGCGATTAATGTTGTATGTATAAAACATAAGCAGGCTATTAAAACGTTAAACTCGAATATAATAAAAAACAATGGATATTCAGTGCTCTCCGTGAAACAATAAGCTTTGCTATCAGTTTTCTCCTCTATTGATTGAGAAATACACAAACCATGATAAAATGCTACAGTTAAACACTTGTTAAAAACCAGATAAAACTGAAGAAAAATCGCCCACCGTCTTACCTGTGCTTCTGCTTGAAACAAATGCTGTCAGCTCTGTTGAGGAAACGTCTGCGTATTTAAACAGCAAACCGCTTTTTTAGGCTTGCTTGCTGCAAAGGAGCTGAGCGCAGTTGATACTGACCTCTTCAGTTCTTCTTCAATGGAATAGAGCTCTGCCCTCATCAAAGATGGCCGCCCTTTTTGACGTCAGCACCTTTTAATAGAAATCCGTCAAGGGGAGCGGCAAAGGGAATTTGAGTCATCGGTTGCTTCTGTAGACTGCAATCCTTTGCATTTTTTCTCCTTATTGAAGGAGAAAAAGTCGTTTGAATTTAATTTAGTACTCTAATTTTTATCTTCCAAACCTAATTTTCTACTTGTTTTTAGAATAGTAACTTACTTTAAAATGGACCATGTACAGTATAAACGATTCAAAGCGGGGCTAGGTAATTTAGAAAAAAATGCAGCAGTGATTTGTTTTCGCCAAAGGGGTGGTCTGTAGGGGTATTCCTACACCCAGGCAGATCCATATAAGGTAAAATTACGTGTGATGTTTTGTTTTCCTTAGAGATTATACAGGTAAAACCTACCTTAAAATAACTTCACAGTGCGACATATTTTAACAAACCCATCAGTATGTTTATGTTCATGTGGTGAACGGCTACTTTAAAAATAGTACTGGAATTATTGCAGTTAAAGAAAATGCATTATAGAACTTTGAATAAAGTAGATGAGAAAACAAATGACATACTGTAAACTCCCTACAGTGCACAACGTTTTTTTTTACAGTACAATTTATTCCACAGGTGTGATTATCATTTAAAAAAATAATAAAAGGAGTGAGAATCCATACATTACATAAAGAACAGCAGTACAAATTAAAATAATCATATATTCTAAATGCTAAAATCTAATATTCTAGGCACAAGACACACACATCCAATGTGTTTAAACACTTCAATGATAACATTCCTAGGAAAATCCATAAATCCTATGTATGTGGGTATGAAAGTGACTAACTCATGAAATCATTGTTTATGCTATTGCAAAAGGACAGATCAATAACCCTAGTAGTGAATGTTGATGACCATAAAAGCTTATTTTGTCTAACACATTTTAAAATATTTTGGTGGTTTTCATTACTGTCAAGAAATATGTCTCAAAGTTATCCATTACATCTCACCACTTTTCAAACAATCTGAGCTGAGGTTCAACACGCAGCAAAAGATCACAGGTTCTTCATGTCTCCTCTGGGATGAGGCTGCTTGAGTCATGTAGGAGTGATCCAATCTGGAGTCCTTGGTCTTAACAGGGATCTCTGCAGGAAATGCTTCTGTTATGTAGGCCACGATGAGTGATAACACATTTAATGCATTAACAGGAGCAAGGACATCTGAGGTGAGGCCTACTTGTTTTGCTTTCCAGTGTGAATACTTGTGGAAACATACCATACTCGTTTTGCAAATTACAGTATGCTCTTTGTGCAGTTTAATTTGATCACACCAAGTTTTCTTTACGTTTCACTCCATAGATAAAAGTACGGTAGAACTTAAGGAAAGGAAAGTGAAAGCAAGTACACCCATTGTAAAGGGTAAAGGAAAACCAGTGTGAAATTGCTAGGCCCAGTAAAGCACTGGGATTCAAAAATGTCCCTAGGACACAGCCACCCAGTAGTATGTGGACTGCAGTAATGAAGTTAAGTTCTACACAGAGTTGAAAAACAAATGAACTGTGCTAAATTTCAAAGACTGTTACATTCACCAAGTCCATACAGAATATTGCAGGAATTCAACAACCATCACAAGTGCACTGTACTGTGTGAAGTGAAACGTTCTCTTGGGCCTCAGAGATACTGTACATGGTGTTTCTTATTTCAGTTTCTGACTTTTTGAGATGAACATTTTCCCTTTTTTACTTGGCTAAGAAAATACAGAAACCAAAAGAGAATACAGAAATATAGAAACCATGCTCATTCTTTGTTCTTCCCTTCTCCCAAACAAAACCAAAACATAAGATTGATGGAAAAAAAGGTAATGCTGGTAAGCTGATCACTGCCCAGTTATCATCTATTACTCTTCTGTATTTATAAAATATTCTATTGTTATACTGTTATATTGTTATTGTAAGTGGTTTGGTTAGTGAAGTTATTTTCTTGCATTGCAGTATCAAACACAGTACATAATAATATGAAATAATTTAATATTGCTATGTTAATTGAAATGATCAGTAACTCATTAGTTTAGAAGCTGCAAATAATACTTTATTATAAATAAGATGTTAAAAGTTATGTATCAGTTAACAGGAAATGGGAAACATTTGATTGATAAAAAACATGCAACTAAATATTAATATTTGAATCTTAGTTCCACCAGCTCATTGACTAACAGTTAATGCTCTCTTAACAGTATCCTGAATTGTAAAGAATTGTGAAGAACATGGAATTAACCCCTCCTAATATAATCGTTATAAAATCTATTTAACTTTTAAATAACAATTGTCCTTCAATCATTCAATCTGCAGAGACAAACTTATTCCTTACCCTAATTTATAATAATGAATTCCAGAAAATGAAAGATCATCAGTTAATGAAAGGATTCTTCCTGTGACACAGACAGACAAAACAAAGCTTTCTTCCTATATATTATGTTAATAGAATATTTTTCTCGCATACCATTTTCAAGTAAAATTACTCATTACAAACATTAATATAACCAAATGTGACAGTTCCTGTCTGCTTCCTTTACTCTCAAGTTACTTTAAACTTCAGGGACAAGGTTCACCATCCAACAGCAGCTAAAAAAATCTACTGTATGCAATCTAAAGTATGTACTGTACAGTACAATTTTTATTGGAGCCTGGGATTGTCTAAGATCAAATTTGTTTGTCCTGATTTGCAGAAATGTGTTTTATTGTTATATTTTCCTAGAGCAGAAATGGTGACAGCATGGATTTATTATACATTTAATTAATTTGCTCTAGTGAGCATGCATTCCTTTTGTTTTTAAAGTGTCAGGGTTCTTTCTATTTGTGTTTTATTTTGTAAGTCATTTATTTTGAAAAATTCAAGCTCACAAAACAGTGCTGATATTGTAGAGGTCATGAGCCTGGGCCAGTGTCTGGGACACAGAAACACTGAAGCTGAGCTGAATGAGAACTGATGTAGAGTATATAAGACAGTGTTAGAGGCACTACGTTGAGAACATAAAGGCTTGGTCTCAGACAGTGGAAGCTTTGGCATCTGGTTCACACCAAAGGGTTTCATCACATTATGTTAACATATTGATTCCCATTTGTGTGACCGAGTTAGGATCCTCAAGGGTCTGTATGCACAGGTATTCTCAAGAGCCCACAAAGTAAAGAAGTAAAGCGAATTTGCATTTCCGGACCTATCACCAATAGTCCATTAACTTGATAGTTAATTTAATAATTAACACACAGTATGGCTATTTACAACAATTAGAGGCCATATGATGGCTTCTGGTGGCAGAACTGCTGTAATTACCTTTTCTTAAGCTGGTCTTTACACACTGTAAGACTATTTAAAATGAAACATTGTGACATATTCTACAAAAACTTTTGTGAAATTGTTGACAAAAAATGGGATGAAAGTACTGTATATTTTATGGTTATTTCAATTTAAAAAATTTAAACAGGTTTTTAACTTTATGTTTATTGCATGTAGTCATACATGACTACACAACACGATTAAATGAAAAACATGAAATCATGTTGGCTGATCTTCTTCTCCATAAATAGCATGAAATGTGAGTATGTATAAACTGTGTACTGGTATCAAAATTCTGAAGACACCTGATAATCAATAAAAATTATTTGATAATACTGTAAAGTATATCATTTGCTTTTACTCCAAATCCAAGAGAATCACAATTAAAAATGAAGATCTGTATTAAGCTAGCATTGAAATGAAAATGAATATGAAGTCAATCAAAATATTTAAATAAATGTCTCTCTAAAGAAGACTGAAAATAAATGCATCAGGCAAAAAAAAGTCAATGATTACCGATTTTTGGGTCAATTCATTTAATTTGGAAACAAGACATCCAAAATTCAAAGAAGAATCAAAATGTGCTAGAGTGTTTATGAGGTATTAAGTGTAATTTTGGGTCTTTGAGTGCAGTGTGCTGTTTGCACTAAGATATGAATGTTATATGTGGATGTTAATATAAAAAATACCAAAAATACTAAAGATTGTATGCAGTACTAACCACAATATAGGTAAGATTAAGTATGTTAACTAATTATTAATAGTATAGCTTTCACCACTTTAGCTGATACAGTACATGCACAATTTCATGTTACACCAAAATGTTCATTTTTAATAATATGTGAATCATTTGAATCACTGCCTAAACAATGTTAAAAAGTTCAAGTATTTTGAAAATAAATACTGTAAATCTTATCCTAAAATGTTCAGTATTTACCCGTGTAATCACAAAGTACAGAAAGTTTATGAGAGCTTCAGGAAGCTACCCCAACTTGCACTTAATAACTTATAAAGGCTCAGGACAGAAGCAAAACATCAAATGTCACTTCACTATGAGGAAAGTCAGAGAAATGTCTAAGGATCTAAGGTAAAAGATGATCAATCTCCATAACTTTAATGATGACAACAATAATTATCATATTAATCATCAGTGTGGCATTGGTCATCCAGGCTAATGGGACAGTTGATACACAGTACCACCAAAAGAAGTATAAATAAAGTTTTCCCTTAATGCACAACCTGAAAAAGTTTCATTCTTCAGAAAACTCTGACCTCAACAGAATACAGTCTCTCCATGACTACCTTTAAGGTCAGACTCAGAAATATGGTGCATGCAGCACAGTTCCTTGACCCTTTAAAACAACCATATCAAATGGGATCAAATTGTGTGGTTAGATAAAACACAAACTGACACTTGTAAAGTTCAGCCATGTAATTACCACTGAAAGCTCATGTAAGGAAGAAGAAAGAAGATGATAAAAAAGAAGCAAATTTGTAATGCTTTAGGATTGTTTTGCATCCTCTGGGCCTAGTGCCTATAAATTTCAAAGTTTGCTTGTATTTTTAGCCAAATGGTTAATAAAGAATAGAAATCAATACCAAACATATTTATTTTCTTGTGATTATTGTGACCTACTTTTTATTATTAAGATATACTGTATTATTTATATTCGGCGAATCAGTTGCT